TATATATATATATATGAAAAAATTTGCATTTATGCAAATTACCTGCTAAAAATAAAATTAACGGGAAAGCAGGAACTGTTTAATAATAAGCTTCAAAAATAGTGAAAAACTGAAAATATTTACACGGTAAAGAACCTAAAAAGGAAATGGAAAGCACTAATAACACGGCTGTATCAGCAGGGTGGGGGGAGCATTATCTACCAGTCATGCAGGAGCAACGTTTCTACCCTGGGGAGCAAAACATCCCAAACAACCAAACCTCGACTGTCCCGAAAAAGAGTAATAAACGAGAAACAAAAGCAAATCAGATGAAGATATATTAAGATCTTGAAAACCGAAGTAGAACTAAATATAGTGACTAAAGAGATGCTTCATCTTTCAGATGAAAGTCAATTGGTACGAGTATTAAATTAGTTTATACACCAACAAAGAAAACCATAAAACTATGAATTAAATATCAAAAGTTCGGGAAGAGCAAAAGATTACAAAAATAAATAAAACTAAACTAACAAATCGGAAAAATAGACAGGCACTCAATTATGCTTCAATGAGATTTAACCGAACTTCAATGGTGGCTGAACGATAGCATAAAGCTAAGCATTACTTCGTCTCTATAAATCCAATCTGGATGTCATTACTCAGGAGAAGTTAACGTGAACATTTACAATTATTTAAAATAAGCATTTCAATATTACAAATTAACTTAACATGATTATTTTGAAGCAAAATTGCTTTTCTGTAGATACTTATAGAAATATTAAAATTCCAGAAATTTAAATTTGTTGACAGTGAATGGAAAATTATTTCCTTTATCAGAAACTTTAATTAGGCTAGTTTAATATAATGAAGAAATCAAAGAAGTCAGAAGACAAATAAGACGAATTTACCACTCAAATTGATGTCTTTGATAAAAGAAATAATTTATAGAATATAAACTAATTTAATACTCGATCCTGGAACATTAATCTTTCATCCGAAAGATCGAGTTTCACTTTAGTCAAATATATTTACTGCTTCGTCGATTTTTTGGAATCTTAGTATATTATCTTGTTTTGACTTGCTCTTATTTCTTATTTACTAATTCAATTTCCGAGAAATCGCTGTGGTATTCCTTTCTTGTTTGTGATATTTTGCCACCGACAGCGGAAACTGCTCCTGCACTGACCGCATAGCAATGCCCCCTTCACGACGCTACTGTGTTGTCAGTGACTGAAATTTCCATTTTTATTTTTCATTCTGTAAATATTTTTTATTTTCTTGTATTTTTTATACTAGTCAAATAGTTCATGCTTTCCTGTTATTAATTGGATTGATATCAAGTATTTTATAATAATTCACAATTTTTTTTAAATAGACTTTTAATAATGATAAACTTGATATGGTAGTAAATATAAAATATTCATATATATTTGCATATAAATACATATACATATTTTCACTTAAATTTTAAACTCTTTTCTTTTAAAATAAACTGAAAACTCAGAAGCAGTAAAATAGAACTTTCAAAAATAAGTTTTAAAAAATTAAAAAAATGAAACAATTAATTTTTTAAAAAAAAAGCTGAAGCCAAAAGCCTTTAATATTCATTTTATTCTCCACCTAAATACCTAAATTCATAAATACTTATTTGTAATTTTCTTTTCTAAAAAGAAAGCCACCAAAAAATTTGTTTTAAAAAAAGAACTTACATAAAGAATTAATTACCTATGATAATTAACATAAATTTTTTGATGTACTTTTTCATTAAGATCACTACCATTAGCTTAACTTTACCTTTCATCTCCATATATTCAATTAGTTGCAAGGTAGATGTGTCTAGCTTGAAAAACAAATATAATAATTTTAATTATTCTATATTTCTTCTTCAACGAATGCAATCCTAAGCCAGATGTACGCATTATTTTAAGAACAAAAAGCAATCCAATTTATTTCTCAAGGAAAAAGCATGCAACCCAATTGATTACAGAAGTTGAAATCAAGGTAATTTGATTTCTTCTGTTACTTTTATGGCTCGAGAAAACAACAGAAATAAATTATCCGCTTTTTTTTCTCATTTATTTTCGGTCCATTAAAAGGGAAAATATAAAAATTTATGTTTTTCTAGTCTTTTTTTCTATTGAAATTATGCATCAAACTAATTGATGAAAAACTGGAAGAGAATTTCAAAAAGAAAATTTTACAGCAATGGACAAGAAATATTGATAGAACTATTATGATTTATCATTTAAATCTATAAATTAATTTTAAACCAGTTTAATTATTACAGTTTTACATTTTTAGCGAATTCTTTTCATTTAAGATTTCTATATTACATTTAACAATTATGCTAACATTCCCCTAAATATTTTATTTTGTAACAGTGATGAACAGCCTACACAATTCTCGGTTTATGACTATCAATATTAAATTCAACAGACTTGTAATTTTAAGCCCAACCCAGAAAACAAGGGAACTCCTAGTTTAGACACTGGGACAAACTAGCCTTCATGGAAGAGTTTTTGACGGAACTAAGGAGAACAAAGAAAACTTAATCGAATAGCTCGACAGCAAGGGGATTCAAACCCATGATCCGTCTACCAATGAGGATATTCAAGGTCAGCACTGAGGTCGGTGCTAGTCGTGTGCAGAATTAGTATCGACTAGCCATCGTTAGTATTCGAACCTGAGTATCCCCTGAACCATCACGGCACAACACTTGAAATATTATTATTATAACGTGCACCTTGTTTTTAAGTTCGTTCCATCTTTTTTTCTCCTTCTTAAATATTAGCACGTTAAAATAAATCTTATGACCATAAATACTTAATCATGTAAATCCAGATTAAAAAAAAACAGCATCACAGCGACATTCTAAAATATTTCGACCAAGAACTTTAACACATTTTCAAGCCATTTATTGCAAATTTTAATGATCTTAACACAGTCAAAATCTTTGAAAATTATTAAATCATTGATTTTAAACTCTTTCTTTCAAATTACTATTGTTTCTCATTAACTGTATATTTTCCTTAATTAGTGTGACGTAAACCATGCCTTATTATTTCATTTCTGTTTTTTTTTCCACATCATTTTATTTTTCTGATAAAGGTACACTGAAACCGGTTTAGTTTTTTGTGATTTCAAAAGTCTTATTTTTTATATTTTTAATACTTTCAACGGTCTGACTGAGGACCATCGGACATCCCAAAAAAGCCAAAGTCATCCCCAATCAAAATTCTTGATAGTCCCCTCAAAACATTGTGATAGTTTATGTTGGTTTCTATGCGATTCATGATGGTCCGACATCATTTGACGGTCACCATCATCCAACATTTTCCATTATGCATTCATGGTATTTGATATGCCAACAAGCTTCCATCATTCCATGATGGAAAATTCTACTTTAATACTATGATGGTTACCCATCAAGAGAAGTTTGATTCTTATTGACCAACAATCAATGAAGATCTGTGATGGTCCATGATGGTTCCGACGATCCATTTCCATGATGGCTTAATGTAAATTCTTGTTGATTTTCCGAAATATACCATCAAAAATTTTTTTCTTATAATGGACCACAAAAAATCAGTCCAAATTTCAACATTGGGATGATGGTTGCTCATGATCGTTCCTATATTTGATTTCTAAGATACCATTAAGGAAATTACTGACAAGTGATGGTAGAGAGTAAATAGCACATACGATATGGGTAAGTTCATATCAAAGACAATGCTGGTATACTTAAATCATAAAGTGTGATAGTGGGTTCAAATCACAAATGAGGATGATAACAAGCTTATATGAAAGATGAGAATTGTTTGGGTCCATATCATAGTTTGCTTTTTGTAGAACAAAAACAAAATTTAATGGAATCAATGCAATGATCATAATCATGATCTAAGCAAAACCACGAATGCCGTAATCTGAATGGACAACGAATGTTAAAATCTTGATATTCAGAAGAATTAGGATTATATTTGATTTCAACAGCAAATTCGACAAACAGTAGTCAATTGGTACAAAAACGGGCAATGCAACGGTCAATCATCGTAGACATACCGGGTCAAAACATCATGGTTCTATAAACACAAATAACGCCATTTTTTAACCATTTAAATCATTTGAACGCCATTCTGAAAACTATTATTATTGTTATACTAATATTAATTTAAATATGATTATAAAAACGTCGTTTTAAATATTTTAAAACTACTATTAGTACTATAATTAAACACTAAAAGAATTACACCCTTTGACATTTTTATCAGTATTTAAGGAATTACCTGACTTGTGTGTTTTAAATAAAAAAAAAGTAAGTAAAACGAATAGCTAAATTTCTCAACGAACTACCAAAAGTAGAAATTTTCATTTCAAGCATTTTGTGAATCAATACAGTTGTACTTTCATGAATATTACTTTTTTCATAAACTGGGATGAATTATTTTTTTTAAAAAGAATAATACAAAAAAATGGAGCAAATATGGTAAAGAAAGACAGATGCGAAGATGCGTTTTTGTTACAAAAAAATTAATAAATAAATAATAGTAATATTTTTCAAAAAGAATAATTTTTAAATATTTTTGAATTAAAATATTTTTACGATTGAATAACTTAATTTTAAATCCATCTTTCTTTATAAATCAATGATAAAAAAAAGCAAATTAATATCATTTTTTAAAAAAGAAACTTTTTGAATTATTTCCTATTTTTTTTCCTTCAAACATATGCTTGCGGTTTTAATTAAAACTTTTAAATAGAATGGCTCCTCTCTTCCTCTATCTCCCATACCATAAACTGAATTGAATATTCTATTGAAAATCCTTCACAAAAAGGTACGCCTTTTGTGTTCTCCTACTAAAGAAATAGTTTTCTGTCATTAAGTATTTAGAAATAGTATTCAGCTTTCACTGATCCATTTGTAATAGGAAAAGGTAGTAACCATTTTTTATTTCCTTTCAGGCAACTGCAACGAGGCTTCTGTAACATCACTTTTCATCCTTACCCTTTATCACAATTCAATGGTTCCATCTCACATCGACACTCACAAATTTTGTATCCAAGGCAAGTTTCAGACGCCATTTTGTATGCATCGGTAAGATAAAAAAGAAAAATATTTGCATTTTATTTTAAAGCTTTGTAAAACGTTTTCGTTTAATTTTCTTCGATATTCAAGCTGTTATATACCAGTGCTCAAATATAGTAAATTGAATCTGGATATTTTCTAAAAGAAACAGGCTTATAGGGTGCCCTTAAAGTGACAAATGATTTAAAAAAGCTTTTAAAGAAAAATAGATTTACATTGAAATGTACAGTTTGATGCGTTGTGCTAAGGAAACGAGATATGTAGTCTTATCAAATATCTAAAAAAGCCGCGATGTAGTAGCCGTCAAAACACTGTGGTGTAACTACCACTACGAATATTAAACATCAATTTACTGGTATATAAGACATGCTATCTTGATTCAATCACGAGGTACCTTTCGATAGATGAAGGTTGGCATAGTCGATAACTCCGCAGCCACTTTGGTGACCTCCGGACGTGATTTGAACATGCAGTAACGCCCACTTGTCAGTAGCGCCTACTTCGTTGGATGATCCACAATGAACAGTTGACTTGCTCCTTGTGACTGCGACATAATTCACCTCTTCATGCTGTTGCTGCTCGGTTTCAATCATACACAACGTGAACACTCGACTGCTAAAGGCAACAGGGGAGCGAACACAAAAGTGAAGTTAATACACCTCTCATATTCAGCACTCAAGCGACTACGACCGTGAAGTTAATACACCTCTCACTTTCAGCACTCAAACAAAAAAAACCTGGTGACTCTCTCTCCCGGTCTTTCACAAGTACAGCAACTGGGCCGGGAAGCCTGGTCGGTAGGGCGTTGGGCCCATATCCAAGAGGTCGTGGGTTCGATCCTCGCCGGCCGAAGACTCCCCGTGTAGTAAATGGTGACTACTGCACGTTAAATCTGTCGAGTCTCAAAGTCCTCCATGTTCCCACAACAAATCAATACCTCTGGGGGTACTGATCCAGGAGTTTCCTTGTCTTCTGGATTGGTTCAAAATTACAAGGCTACGGAGTTGAACGTTAGTAGTCGTAAACCCATGAAATTGGGTCGGCTGTTCAACGACGGTTATAAAATTAAAACAAGTACAGCAACTAGTGAGATCCGTTCATCGAATTCTATCCCTGATAAAATTCTGCTGGGGAGTATTGTGGCATAACTACCACTACGAATATTAAACATCAATTCACTGGTATATAAGACATGCTAACTTGATTCAATCATGAGGTACCTTTCGATAGATGAAGGTTGGCATGGTCGATAACTCGCCCCAACAACACTGAGCAGTCACTATGAAGTGTTCGATAGGTACTAGCTTGTCTGGGAAGAAAAGGCGGTCGGTGCACATTGTCATTCCACTCTCTGTTCCACAGTGAAATGCTCGTTGATGGAGGTTGGTCGTTCTTTGAGGTTATCCCAATTGACTTCAAAATTATTATCGAACGTGCATGATTTTTTGCAAACGATTTTAAATTTATCAGTGCCATCTTCTGGGTGCGGAAATACCACTTTTAATGAATAAAATTTAGCAATGAATAAAATTAGGAATAATACCAATTTTATATGAACAAAATTTAGCGTCTTTAAAAAAGATCACAACTTATATAATTATGTGTTAAAACAAATTTAGTAATTATGACTGATAAAGCTATTCTAAATAAATAAACGATTATGTTTTTTGCTTAAGTTTGCATTTAATTTCATATTATAATAATTAGTTAACTTTAAAAGATGAGAAGAGGTTTGTTTGAGATCCTTGTGTTTTTCTAAAATAGCTTTCAACTCTAAAAGTAAATCATTAATAGCATCGTCTTTAGTGGACTCTGACTGCAACATGAGACTGTATCGTCAAAAAGAGCTCTTTGAATAAAAGCCACACACAAGTATTTTAATCCATTTATTTGTTTCGTTAAATTTTTTGTTTTGATATTTTTTCGAGTTTCTTTATTTGTCCTTTTCCGCATTTGATGCAGATGTTTTCCCGGTCACTAGGAGAGGTTTTAATGGTCTCTCCTAAAGGTTTTCTCAACACAAAGTCTATGGAAGAAATTCCTTAAATCCCAAAAAATGGTCGTAAATCGGTCTTTTCTGGAGATTTAACTGCATATTTTTCCGACTCATGGATAGTTTTCAATAAAAACATTCAGAAAAAAAATGTAAGAAAGATTCTTAATTTGCTCTGCTTGTAAAAGTATCGTTGCTTCTAATTGAAACATATAAAACGCATTCATTAAGGAGAGAAAAAATTAGCTGCTTCTGCTTTATTCTCCGAAACGCTTGAATGAGAATTTCAGCGCAAATTAGTATAAAAGCAAATGCATTGACAATGATTTTGTAAAGTATTCGTTTCGTTCACCATTCTTAAAATTTTGAATAAAACGTTTCCGATTGCCTTACATTTTGAAAAAATAAGAATCGAAACGCACTGAATTTAATTTAATAATATAATTTTCTCGTAATAAATATACAGAATACAATTTCAATGATTTAGGAAACACACTATGCTAGTAATTTAGTTTAGAATGTTTAAGAATAGAAAATTTTTCTATTTCTCTAGTTAAAAAAAAAGATTTTAAATTCTCACATGTTATTATTGTGAAAATAAATAAATCAAACTCACTGAATTACATTAATCTTGTAATAAGATCTTAACGATGTAAATGTGCCAGTCAAAATCTTAAAGATTGGATGAATATACATAAAATATTCTAATTAATATTATTTAATTATGGAGACATGAATAGAAATGTACATTGTCTGAATAAACATTTTCTGGATAAACACACCTTTTTCTTGACGGATTCGGATTTCTGACCCTAAAAATATAGGGGATAGCCGCCATCTGGAAAATATGATCCAGATAGTTTGATCAGCAGTGTTTGGACCCCTTAATGTTAATTTTACTTTTCGCGCCTTTCGGAATATCTCGAGACTTTGTATGATAATTGAAAAATTTTTTACACTCAATTACAAAATTCGTTCATCCAAAGACATTTCCTGCAAAAAATAACTGTTAGCAAATATGTATCATTTTTTACTGTTTTATTTAGGAATGGACAAAAAAATTTTGAATCGTAAGGTATAAAATTTTTGTATCATTTTAAGGAATATATTTTTTTTAAAATAAAATATAAAATTTGAACAAAATCAGTCGAATTTCAAGTATCTGACTTTTTTGAAATTCAATTTCTCAGGAACTTTTCGACTAATTTTTCTCAAATTTTACATTTTTCTATACAAAATTATATTCTTTAACATTATGCGAAAATTTTTATACCTTACAATTTAAAATATTTCCGACTATTACTTTATAAAATAATAAAAAATAATAAATATTTATTAAAATTTATTCTTTGCACAAAATTATCTTTGGGTAAACAAATTTTATAATTGTTTGCAAGAATTTTTCGATTCGCTTTAAAATCTCTTGAGATATGGTGAAATACGAAAAAAGTAAAATTAACATTTGGGAGTTCAAACTTTGAATCACTCTCCTGACCAAACTATGGGACAAAACTGCAATCTGGGGACCATATTCCCCCGATTGCAGTTACCCCAAATATTTTGCGGGTCAGAAATTCAAATCCGTCGGGAAAAAAGGTATGTTTATTCAAAGAAAGTAAGTTTCTCTGTCTGTTTTCGTAACTTAAGAAAACGTCAGCATTAATTAATGAGTCAATTTTGAGTCAACTCTTCGAACCATTAAGAATGAGTCTTACTACGTGAAGATCCGATCATTAGATCAAAAGTTATACTGGGTCGTCCGTTTTTTTTAACGAAACTGTACATTAACATATTGTGAATAACTTAATTAAGATATGAGAAAATAAAATAAAAATAGTTCTTATAAACGCACAGTTAGTGCGACAATGTCTTTAGTATAGATAAAATAAACTGTAACTATATGTAAAAAAAATTTTTATAAAATCATTCTGATGTAACAGAATTACAATAAAATTACAATAAAAATGCAATAAAAATGTAATAAAATTACAATAAAGTATAATATTAAAATAAAATGTATTATTTCATTTCTAATGCAATAGCAAAATTTTTACTGAAATGGAATACTCTTGAGAAAAGGTTTTAAACTTGGTTATAGATTTATCACTTAAAACTTTTTATTCTAAAATTATATTTATAATAAATAAAGACTCTTAGATTTCAAATTTAAAGTATATGACTATTTTTTGCCGACAAAAAGCTTGGAAATAAAATGGAACTTTAAAATTTAAAAGAACAATCAATTCTTATATCTATGCAAGTAAAACACAGCAAAATAACAAGTTTGGGGGTTGAAGTAATTAAATGAGTTTCAGTACGTATTAGCAGACACAAACTCTTGTTAATGAATATAATTTAATTATATGGTGCTAGTTACTCAATATTTAACCATTCATTCATATAATGCATTTTTAATGACATTGCGTTGTTTGATTTTCTGTCAGAAAATACCTTTACTAATTAAGATAATTAATTAACATCAAACCAACTAATGCATGACAACTAAACAATAAGGAATTGATAAGTATCAAATGATTTCCATTTTTTTGATATTCTTGATACAAAATATTCGTTTAAATCATAATAATAAAACCATATCAGTCATAAAAATAATACTAGTTCTAGTATACATTTTTCTGTATATATATATATATATATATATATATGTACAATTTTTAATTATAAATTATAAAAACTATATTTTTGTGCTTCAAGATAATATTACTTGAAAAATACTTACTTTTTTTTTAAATAAAAATTAGGAAAAATTAAATACTTATTTCAATTGTTAANGAAACACCACCAGCCCTCGGCGGCCAAAAATTCCCTGCAGACAATGAATTTCTCGAATCCGACGTCCGCGCGGACGGCCAATTTCCCGTTGATGTTCGTGATACATTCTCAATTTTTGTTATTAGAATTGATGTTTTCTCCGTCTGGTAGTACTGCAGCGGTTGAAAGGGGCTTTTCAGCTATGAACTTACAAAAAAACACATTACGTACTTATCTTAAACAAGAAACGTTAAACGCAATTATGAACATCTACCTAAATAGAAAACCCCTTTCAGATTTCTGTGCAGAAACCTCTGTATATCATTGGCTTGATTGTGGAACTGGCAAACGTCATATTTGATTTATTTAAAAAACGCAATACCCTCGGATAAATTGACATTCCACATAACTTGACCTTCGCCATTTTGCATAAAATTTAATTACATTAAAACAAATTATTTCATAAAAGAAATACTAGGTTACTATCAGTAACCTAGTAATTCTTTTAATACTGTTTAATGTAATCCAAGTATTTGTAATCCTAGAAACTACTAATTCATTGTGCAATTTACATAAATGTTTGTAATAAGTAAGAGAAAATTATATTTATATTTATTTAGATACGACGGGTCAGTTTCAAAGGAGGACGGGTACATTGTTGGACAAGCCGTCCTCGGGAACGGGTGAAATTTCTGAGTTATTTCGAACCCTGATATATATATATGTACAATTTTTTATTATAAATTACAAAAACTATATTTTTGTGCTTTAGGATAAAATATTACTTGAAAAATACTTACCTTTTTTTTAAAAAAAATTGGAAAAATTAAGTACTTATTTCAATTGTTAAATTATAAATCATGCGTTTTAGAAAATTTTATACAGTTAATCTCATAAAATACAGTTACATTTATACAGTTAATCTTTTATACAGTTAATCTTCTTATACAACAATACTTTTTCATAAAAATTTGCAAACTGAAGCATTTGCTTACTTTTACATCGAAAAATTTTTCTGATGTACAAGTAAGTTAAAACTTAATAGCAGTTCATTTTGCGCAGATTTTCTACTTCACTCAAAATCGAAGTTCTTCAAATACTCTTAATTGAATTCTGTTTTTAAGTTGAAATAAAGTATTTAATCTCAGTAATTAGCAATTATTCCATAGGTAGCACTTATTCTGAAGTACAATTTCTAATAATTTTCGTAAATTATCTGACAAATTTTTAGAAAACAGTGCCTAGTGCTTAAAAAAATTAAACATCCTATATATTTTTGATCCACTGATCGGATTTTGACGAACTAAAACTCAATCTTAATGGTTTGAGAGGAAGACCTCAAATATGCTAATTAGTTCTTGCAGACGATATTTCAAATTGCGAAATCAGACACTAAAACGTAATTTCTCCGAGTAAGCAGACTTTTTTTTCACGAATTCTGATTTCAGACCTCCAAAATATAGAGGACAGTCGTAATTTGAAATAAAATGGCTCCAAAAGATTAAGTAGTAGAATGGTTTTCACTAACTATGCGACCAATTTCGTTCTAGTTTTGTATTTTATCATCTAAAATTGAATTCTTTAAAATTATGTAAAAATCTTTATACCTTGCAATTCAAAATATTTACAATTATTGTCTAATAAAATAATAAAAAATAATAAATGATTAGAAAAAAATTATTTTTGTATGGAGTTATCTTTCGATAAACTACTTTTGTAATTTTGTCTAAGAAAATTTTATTTAACTTATAAAGTTCTTAAGAAATTGTGAAATATGCAAAAGGTAAATTCAGCATTAAGTTCTCCAAACTTTCGACACTTCAATCTATTGGGACCATATTTCCCAGAGTGCGGTTACCCTTTATAGTTTGACGGCAAGGAATCATAATGCGCCAAAAAATAGGTATGTTTAATTCAGAGAAAATACATTTTTGTGTCTGATTTCGTACTTTCTTTTGCGTGTGCATTATAATTCCATAGCTAATACGTAGTAAAAAGCAAGAGGAGCAATGATTATTTTGATTATGAAATTTAAAAACTACGTCAACTTTTCTTCATTAAATTCTTATCTGATTTCCCTTTTACATTCAGTAAATAAAATGTTTTGGAGAAAATAGATCAAAATTGTTTCAGTATATCACAAAGCTGTTTCTTTGTTAATTCTAATTCATTTTGTTTTTAGAACTAATGTATGTCTCGTAATTTTCAGCTTGTAGCCGTGTTTTATGCTGCCATCATACTTATTGTTGTTGGAAGTAACTGCCATAGATTTCGAAAACATCATTCCACATCAGAAAAAGGCACAAAGCGTGTCGCCAAGCACCTCCTCACAACCACCGACACCAACCTTAATATATTCCACATTGTACTCAAAAGGCACAAACCACCTTCCAGCACAAATCCCACAATAGCGATGGTTTGACAGTGTAAATAAAAAGTTCTCTTTTTTAAAAAAAAATATGTGTGTGTGGTTTATTATGCCACGACGCTGCTCAAAGCTACCTTGCTTATTAGAGATGGGTGATCACCTTTGGCCGAGAGACACGCTGTTGCGAATTTCAGAAAGTTGATAGTTCTGTCCTTCCTAAACGTCGCTACCCATGCAGCGTGATACGTAAATTAAACGTAAATTTTAGGGAAATTGGTCAAATCAATACATAAATTTTACGTAGTATTTCCGTAATGATATAGCCATTGATATATTTGGTTAAAAATCTTTGGTACATTTTACGTAATATTAACAGAATGTATTTTACAGCAACCCTTCGGTAAGATTGCTTTCGTATACTTTATGCAATATTGACGAAGCAAATTTACCATTTAAATTTCAGTAAGAAAGTTTTTGTATAGTTTTACGTAAGAATATTAACTTATATTTTACCATTTAGAATTTGGTAAAAAGATTTCGTATATTGTACCTAATATTGACAAAATAAATTTACCATTTTATTTCGGTAAAAATATTTTTGTAAGTTTTACGTAATATTAGCGAAGCAAATTTATTATTTAGATTCAGTAAAAATGCTTCTCTGCATTTTACGCATTATTGACGAAGCAAATTTATCATTAAAATAATATGTAAAAATAACATACCCATTCTATTCTGTGAAAAACAAATGTCATTGCGAAAAACAAATGCTCGAATTTCACGAAACTTCCTTTGTTTTTGACGAAACTCTTTCCTGGTATTTACTCCGAGAAACATTTCGGCAAAGTGACGAAATAGCTATCCGCACTTCTTCGAAATATTTCGAATAGAATAACGAAATATTTCATTATTCTATTTTTTTCCACAAAAAAATTTTGCACCTAACTTTTCCAATAATCTCTACAAACTTTTCCTATAAACGTTATCAGGGGTGACATATAGCTGTATCAATTTCAACTTAACAACGCAAGAAAAACAGATAGAACAGGGAGAAAAATTACACCCATGCCCGAGGCAGGATTCGAACTCATGATCTTCTTTGTACGATGCCAAATGCTTGACTACCATAGGAGTCGGCCAACTCAGTTCGTTACTTTATTTTTGATCGTTCAGTCTTCCTCCTAGTTACGTTATGTTAGCTAACAATATCCTACAATACATGAGGTTTCGAGTAGAGGAAATATTTTCGTCATATATTTAAGAGTTTCTATTTCATAACAAATCGCACGGCTTCGTAATGTAATAATTCTCTAAATTAACGAATTGTTGCTCAATTATTGCTGGAACGTCAAAAGTGAGAGTTTTATTTCTGAGAGTGCAATAAACATATTTCAAACTTAGAAGATAGAAACACTTATTGCGTAGGAAGACATATATAGTAAAATATATTAAAAGACATGATTAATTTAAAATTTTATTTTAAAAGGAATATGTTGAAGTATTGTTCATTAGAATGGAATTGTAATGCGCAACAGATGAGAAGTATTTTGAAAATAAAAACCAAAAGCTAACTTCACTACTTATCCTAAATTTAAATAATATTCATTGTAACTCAATTGATAACAAATATTTCACATTGCATAAATTGGAATTAGACATTTAATTTAGTTATGATAAAAGAAATAATTATACTTATTTAGAGTGTTTCATTTGAAGTTTTATAAGATTATTTAATTTTTTGTCGTGGTCTTATTTTTTATATTTTACTAGCTGTATGCCCATTCATCGATCGGGATGAAAAATCTGAACAATCAATATATTAGTACTGAACAACAGTATGAAATCACTCACAAAATTGAAACAAACACAATTTAATATATTTTGTCCTTTCTGAGGACTTAGCGTTAATTATATTAAGCAAAATACGTTTTTAGTAGTCTATCTAATCAGAATGAACAGTAATCGCATTCAATATCATTTTAAATGATGCAATTGTTTAACGCCAACTCATGATAGTCAAAATCTACCACAATCAACCACTTTTCTCGATACTTATTCCTTCAGAAAGTCCATTAAAAAACTATTTCAAGCTCTTTCCACAGTATCTATATTAAAGCTTCCAAGTATTGATGCTGTTTTAATTGGTGTCAAATACATTATACATTTATTAGTATATTTGATACCTATTAAAACTGGACCAATTACCTTAATATCAGTAGTGCCAATTATCAAAATGAATTAAACATTATTGTCCTCAATGATAGTATAACGATTTTTTATGAATCTCCAAAACGAATTAGCACTTTCTCTCCATTAATTTTGCCTTAATAAGTAGATAGAGTACCTAGCTTGCTTTTTATTTCAATTAGTACACATTACGGAAATTAATTAGGCATAATTGGAGTTATTAATAGATTGGTAATTTTTTACTCTTCCCTAAATACATTTAATACCATTTCCCTATTAATTTAGCTTTGAACATCACTCGTTTTTTTAAATTTTAAATAGTGCATATTACTAAACTTAAATATCATAGGCGTCAAAAATAGTACATGGCTATTTCTTACTTTCATCCTAAACGAATTAGTACCGATTCTCAATTAACTTTGCTTTTTAGTGCATAGATTTTTTTTTATTTCAATTAATACTTATAACCGGAAGTAAGTATCATTATCGTCAATAATGGCATTCCGATTTTTTACGATTCTCCCTAACAAATCTGAATCATTTTTTTATTAATTTTGCCTAATGCATAGTTTATTTTTTATTTCAATTTTCTTATTACCAGAATTAATTAAGCATTACTAAACCTTTCCCGCTTCTCCTAAATAAATTTTTAACAATTCTCCACTAATTTCGATTTTTAGTACGCAGTTTTTTATTTTGTTTCAATTAGTATCTATTACCAAATTTTTTTTAATGGTGGGCACTTGGAATGTATTGTCCCATTGGCCTCAGAAATGCCAGAACTGCTACTCTATTCTCGTTACCCAGTGGGCACCTGTGGCGAAGCCACGGCGGTGGAGCAGCGTCGCCCACATCACACAACCACAAACCCGTTTACAGGGCGGGTCACATCCACACAATCACACAGAAGAGAAAGGACATGGAACACAGAGAGAAAGAAACATCCCTGCCCTGAGCAGGATTCGAACCCGCAACCATCGGCTCCGCAGTCAGACACGCTAACCACTCTGCCATCTGGTCGGCATATTACCAAAATTAATCAAGTCCTATTTACGTCAAAAATAGTATGTTAATTTCTTTACATTTCACCTAAATGAATTAATACTATTTCTCCTGGTCAATACGAATCTGCATCTGGCTCATACCAGCAACAGTGCTGATATAAAGTATCCTTAGTGGTAGGCAGATCATGGGTTAGAGTCCCCTTACCGTTAGGCTAACCGTAAGAGGTTTTCGTAGATTTCCTCTCCATGCAACGCAAACCATCAAAACCTCAGTACCATCAAAAAGTCAAATTTCTCTCAATAATGATCCAGGAGTTTCCTTGTCTTCTGGATTGGGTTCAAAATTGCAAGGTGACGGACTTGAACATTGGTGGTCGATTATTCAACTTCGGCTGTTCAACAACGGTTATGAAAGTAAAGAAGCAATTTAAGCAAATGTGTCTTTAAATCGATTTTATTTTCGCAGCTGCATCGCTTTATGTAGGCTTTTTAAAAATAAAATAAAAACAGCCATTTTGTAGCCTTATATTCAAAATTTCATTACATCAAGAATGGAATTCACCGATTAAGAAAATATGCGTTGTTTTTTATTAATTATGTGATAAACATAAGATTAAATATTAAGCTTGATATCTCAAATATTTAATTTACTGTATTTCTCATAGAATTAAAAAAAATTGTTTTCCAAATGAAATGAAAATAACGTTTTAATTTTAATCATTCCGTATGTTACTTTAAAACTAATTAGAACTATTCCATTACCACGATAGCGAATAATTTATAACGGAATGGAAAATATGCATAAAACATGCTTCAAAAGCAATGTTTTAGCAGAATTATTCAAATTAATTTTTATTTTTATTTTTATTAAAGCAGTCGTGAAACCTCGAAATTCTTTAAATAATATCGTCAGAATGAGTTGATTAAATTAACTCGGTAATTTAAACGACCCATTTAATGTAAAACTCATTTAAACTGATTTCGTAGCAACTGTGCGAGACGCCATTAAAAGAAGTTTAATGGCGTAAGTTATAAAAATGATTGCATCTAATTAAATCCAAAACTTTTCTTCAAGGAACGCACTTTTACATTATTAACAACATTAATGGATTTAATGAGAATAAATTAAAATTTTCGATCCTATTAACCAAATGTTTAAAAACCATTATCGAAACAGTTATAAATATGCCCATTAAAATATTTATAAAGAAAGATATACAAAATATTTTACCGAAAAAAAATATTTTGTCAGACACATTATTCAGAAGTTTAATAGCAGTTTAAAAATATGACTTTTATTTTAGAACTATAATTTTTTGAGAATTATTTTATTTAGATTAAAAGATTTTTATTTTGGAAAATCACATATTTTGCAGTTTTAATTGAGTAATTGATTAGTTTNTTATACCTTTATTAGTATATTTGATATCTATTAAAACTGGACCAATTACCTTAATATCAGTAGTGCCAATTATCAAAATGGATTAAAAATCATTGTCCTCAATATTATGGCGATTTTTTATGCTTCTCCAATACGAATCGGTACCTTTTCTCAATTAATTTCGCCTTAATTAGTAGATAGAGTACTTAGCTTGTTTTTAATTTCAATTAGTACATATTACGGAAATTAATTAGACATAATTGGAGCTATTAATAGTTTGGTAATTTTTTACTCTTCCCTAAAAACATTTAATACCATTTCCCTATTAATTTAGCTTTGAACATCACTTTTTTTTTCAATTTTAAATAGTGCATATTACTAAACTTAAATTTCATAGGCGTCGAAAATAGTACATGGCTATTTCTTACTTTCATCCTAAACGAATTAGTACCGATTCTCAATTAACTTTGCTTTTTAGTGCATAGCTGATTTTTTTTTAATTTCAATTAAAACTAATA